AGCCAGGATTCCGGGTCTTCAAACGATGACCCACAAAACGTTGGTGGTTCCCTGGGTTGATGAATGATGATCGCGGGCTGGGACTCTCCGGTTGTCATAGTCACTGCAGTAGAGGTCATGGCCTTGGCTTTCCGCGCCTCTTGTTGTAGAAGCCCGTACTCCGGTGGGAGACCTTGCTGTCGGCGGCTTGTTCGCTGCTCTGGGTTGGCGTCGGTGTCTTCGCGACGTGGGCTGGGTTCACGGCTTGACGGGGGCGTTCGGTACATGAACGAAGCAGCACCTCCACCAGATGTCACGGAATCGTGACGTGGCCGAAGACAGGAGACTTCGTGTCGGGATTTAACTGTTTATTTGGGCAAACCTGTGCCCGGTAAATGGAAAGTCCAATTACAGCAGCAGTCTTGCACCGATAGCAGTCTCGGACTGATAGCGGCGAACGGAGCGTCGGCCTTCGATCAACAACAACTGGCAAGCGGCGAAGCGCGTCGGCATTTATACTCTTGCCATCGAATGTTCTAGCGTTATCGCTGGCGGTGGCGTAGGTTCCAGAACAATCTGTACCGTTCGCACAGTGGGCGTGATCTTATCGAAATGATCTACTACAGTCCGGAACTTTCTGGAAAACTGCAGGCGCGGTTTGCGCTGAGAAGCGTGTGGTGTTTTGGGACGATAACGAAAACTTGGGAAATGGAACGTGGCAATATAAAGGCAGATCAAAGGGTGAGCCTCCGGTCAGGGATCTGTTATTATTCAATAACAAGCAGCCCACATTGTGCGCGTACGAGCGGCCAGAGCTCAAAAGATTTTATTCGCCTCACCTGTACGGCAATCTGTTCATTTGTTGTTGTGCTATGCGAGGCTAATATAGTTGCGCTCCTAGTCCCCAATCACTCGCTCTTTATTTCTTTGCATAGAAGCACAAATCTTATCTAGTTTATTGGCAGCCATTGAAGAACATTAATGCCTCATTTACTTTCTACTTTGTTTAGCCCGTGATACACCCAAATAAAGCACTGTATATCTACGGCACATTTGCTGATACTATTTTTCGCAACCATGTGAGGACGTATCGGACTCCTTTAAAGATTCAGCGAAAATGAATGGCCTTTGCAACACGAGGATCATCAGCGTCTAAAAGACGTGTAACCTATGCATTAAAACTATAATTTTGTGATCACATGCCTTTGTGGGACAGACATGGGGAAAGACACAGAGCAAGAACATCCTTCCTGGCTCCGGGGGCGGGGGGGGGGGAGGCAAGGCTATAAATTTTTCACAACCTTCGCGCACTACACCAAAAAAGAAAGAGCAGTTTTGAAAATGCATAAGAATACTGCCAGCATACGTGGCTCCTCCGAAGCCTTTAAGAAATGTCCAGAAAAGTCTAGCCCCGCTCCTTTTATTTCAAATTGTTCGCTCCTGGTGGTTCCCACAGTTTAACAGTAATCAACACTACGAAAATATCAGGTAATCATTCACTTAACGAAGAGCCTTAACAATGGCATTCGGCTATCTAAGACGTCATTCAAACGTTTGTCAATCTTGCTTAGTTTTGGTGCCATTGTTTTCCAATGACTGCGCCAAATATGCCAGGCGTGCGCGGGACACGCAGCCCAGTCTCAGTGACAGCTGGAAGAAAGGCATTTGTAGAACCCTTTATCAGCTCTCTTAGGCCTGCTAATACAAGCACGTTTCAAGGGTACCCACTACCCCATAAATTATAATACTTCTCAAGTGAAGAACTGCTACCAGCACCATTATTCATAATTCTACAGAAAAGCGAGGTGACTGCTACATATTTTCAAGATAATAATGCGCACTTTATAATGCGCTGGCTGACGACGATGATGAAGACTTTTGGCTGAGACGTTTCGAAATGGGCAAGATGCATTCAACGAAGCTCTAGTTACACGAATCATGTTGCGTGACAGCTGGTTAGAAGGTTCGCATTGTCTGACGACTGGTCGTTATTTTACCTGGTACCATGTCATATTACAAAAGGTAACGTGGTCCCTTCGCAACATAACGCCTGTGTAGAGTCTTTTTGCAGCAGAGTTTCGAGCACAGGCGTGGCCCTGTGGTAAACTACTGGACTACCACGGAGAATACCAACCTTCGAACCTTGTCCTATTTTGGATAACCTTTATTTCGTTTTTTTTCTTACTTCGCACATAGCGATTACCGAACAGGCGGCGGAACCCTAAGGTGCCCAAAAGCCGCCAGACCTGCGCAAAACGCGCAGCACAGCCACAGCGAAAACATGGAGAGTGGCCACTCCAAAGCCCTTTTTAAACACTCTTGGGAAAACACTACATACACATTTGCATGGTACCCCCTTTACCATAAATCATCACAATATTTGCGTAATGCTGAAGTACCCGCTATACCATTATTCGTCATTTTCGGGAAAACCGTGATACTCGCTATATACATCTGAGGCATTTGAGCACTTTTTTGGATGAAGAATTACGCCAGAAGCTTTTGTAATGGCTTGGAGCATTCATCAACTCACTCGTCACGCAATTCACGATGTCTGACGCCTGGTTGGTACTTTACTGTTCTAAAACGCTTCAATACGCATAGCAACATAATTACTTGCTGACATAAAGTCTACATAGGATTCGTTTGTCAAGGAGCTTTACACGAACAAGACACTATTTTAAAAAAAAAGTATATCCAGGTTTGCCGAGCTAGAGAGAAGAAATGATTGTGTTTCTTCACGGTTACAAAAAGGTCTACCATGCTTACTATGAGGTAATTTTAAGGAGTGATGCCTTTGAGCAGTGCTTGACGGCCGTAGTATTGCCTTTGTTCTGTATGTTTATTGTGCATCGTAATTTATTCATCTTGTCCCCTTGTATGCAACGTCCAACAGAAAATAAATGAAAAAAAGCTTCGAGCACCATCGTTGAGTACGGAGCTGCCACGCAGACGGCTTGTGTTGGATTTCCATCCTGTCTTTGGTATTTCTTTATTTCGTTAGTCTCTTTTTTATTGCGATAGTAAATATGTAGACACTCTCGGCTGCATTTTGCCGCCGGCGTCGCGGTCACTCCCCGTAAATGTATACGTATCTATATATATGAAAAAGCAAGAAAAACAACTAGACGCTAGAAAGAAAACTAATGCAGAAAAAAATCACAGCTTATCCACGAAGTGAATGATCAGTGGGGTGAAGCGTCCATCCGTCTATGCATGTGTCCATGCGTCCCATCGCGTTCGAGAATGCAGACGGCGCGGGGATAACACCAGAGAGACGCGAGCCAAGAAAGCCGAGCGCAAACGTCTTCAGCACACCCGCTGCTAAGCTCCGTCCATGCTCCACCAACGATCCGCCACGAACGGCGACTATCCAGAAGACTGAGAGATGCCCTCTTTGGCAAAGCGCATGGAGCATCCAATCGGATAGTAGCGGCACTTCGGAGAGTAGCAGCAGAGCAATACCATCTAGGAAATGAGACAAGAAATAGTCATCTATCTCTGTTGCCTTCTTTTCTTTCTCGTCTCTTCTCTTGGTTACGCGTTACTAACCACAATGTTAGACTATAAGGAGCCCCTAAAGGGCTCCGGCGTGCGGAATCGAACGTCAGACCTCGAAATTGTGAGTGCGACGCGTTAGCCACTGAGCCACTAAGGAGCAGCTCGATCAACGTTCAAACGGCAAGCTATTTATATCTACCACTTACACTTTTGATGGACACATCGTGTTTTCAGCATCACCAGCAGGATTGCGCAATGAGCGTGCGTCACCTAAAGCCCCTGAATAGTGTGGCCACATTGTCACTACGTGGCGGCACGCGCTCTTATCTCCCATGCGCACTTTGCCCCGCGGATAGGGGCATGGCGACGCTGACATATACGCTTCGTTATCTCGCGGTGGGGACAATCATACGCCTTGGGCTTTCTCCGAAACGATTCTGATGTAGTTGCCAGCTGCACAAAGCTCAGTGCAACCCTTGCACAGTCTTTGTTTGCGGAAGGGGCAAACTCTTCAGACACGGCGAAGTAACAACTTAGACGCTTATTCGCGTTCTTCTGTACCTGTGAGTACGTTTTGTGCGTCATTTGTGCGTGAGAAACGAGGGGCACGTTCCGAGCTGCCTACTATTCTGCGCCTGATCTTCCAATTTATTGCGTTCAGGTTCATTGCTTCACCTTTGCGCAAAGCTGTGACTTTATTATTTCGCGAGATAGTTGTTATGGAAATTGGCGGTGGCGGCGGACAACTACGGTGCCAGAATCGGCCCTTGTGGGGATCTTATAAAATATTCCACTGAACTATTGTGGTCATAAACGGGTGTACGTGCCACAAAAATTAGGCAAATTTCACTGAACAGTAGTTTTCCCCAAAAAATGAGACAGCTTCGCACTATTGAGGAGGCAAGCCTGAAACAGTACCAATTGTTCATTTTTTTCTTTTGTTTTTTGGTCTTTCTCCCTTTCCGTTTTTTTTCACTCGTTTATTCTCTCTCGTCATTTCTACTAATTTCCTCCCGTGTCTTTCTTATATAACCTGGGAGATGTAAAATAGAATGTGTTGGGGTGGTGGACTTAATCTTACAGACCTTGGCCTTGGCCATATCATTAAAATTTTCGTAGACCTCGTATCATATAGTTGATTCGGAACAAAAAGGTCTATTTTATTACTGACTGAAGCTTGCAGGAGATTTCAATGGCTTAAGCAAGAATATTTCACTATTACTGCGTCATTCTAGGCACTGACGCTCACACCGGATTTCCGTGGATAAAACACGAATATTTCAATATTTGTTGAGGAAGAACGAAGCAAGCGTGCTTTAATTTATGGCATCAACAAATGAGGCACTAATTTGAATACAGACGTGGCAACAGCCTGTTTGCTCACTGCACACGTGCGGGTGCTTTTTCAGTGACTTTTGCTCTATGACCTGAAGCGGATGTCGTGCAAGTCATGTGCATTGTTGCCAGCTGTGCAACACGGCTCCAACCGCTATATCAGCGCCAAAGGGTCGTCCTGCTGAGTGGTTGCCGCCTGACCGTGTCTCCAACAGGTATTAACGCTGGAACGTCACCTCCAGGTCACGGTACAGGTGAGAGTAGGAGTTCTTATAACAGAAAGCTGCGTAGGGAGGGCTGCGCTGATTAGTAGTCTGACAAATAGAGATCGTAGAACACATAGGCAAGTTGCATCTCGAGTGAGCGACAAATGCAGCAAAGAACTTTCATTAGTGTTGAGCCAAATTTAAAATAACGGCCCCTTGCCTACTTGCTTCACCGCAACGGTCGAATTGCCTTTTGCCAGCCAAGGGGCATTTTGTGTTTTGCCTTTCCTCTGGCAGCTACTTCTCTGTGTTGAATCAGCCGCATCTGGCTGGCAATAATAAAATAGAGGAGGTGCTGCATGAGATATAGGCGCCGTCTAGCACTGCTCTCGGGAAACATGAGCTTGTGTGGAACACAAGGCCACTGGCAGGTGGCAGCACCATATCTTCAGCAGAGCTCGTTGTCTTTCATACCACCTTGTTTTCACCAGAGCGTAATAAACAGCTGCTTTTGCGTGCTTAGCATGACATTTCCAGTGGAGCTTAAAGCACGCGAGCGTCTTTGGAATTACGTATCTATGTATTTTCTACTAAAGCGAGCAACACCTATTACATAAGTATTAATATTGTGCCTCGTATATGCGTAATGTTTAATTTTTGATCTACAATGTTCACGAGTATGACTGCAGCCACCAGTTAAACATGGCTGGGCGTTCAGCGAGTGCTTGAACCTTGCTCGGGTGACTGAATTGTGACAGACAGACAGACATACAGACAAAAAGACAGAGACAGACAGACAGACAGACGAAACCTTATTCGCTCAAGTATCCTCTCGAAATGATGTTTACAGCCTAGCCAATGCCTCAAAGGTTTCCAAGAATTAGCCACACCACGAAGGCGTGAAAGCCGAACTGTTTATTGCTAATTATTGAGTACACAATAGCAGGAGTAGCCGCCAATGTTAAGACACGGCCGCTGGATGACAACGCACCGCACGCGGTGCATAGTCATCGAGCGGTCGTGGTTAGGAGGACAACCGCCAAGCATGCGCGGACACTTTCCGCGCAGTTGCTGCAAAACATGAAACAGCGGCCTTCACGGAACACGTTGCCCACTTGTTTAGGGCCACTACTGCAAGTATAGTTGCGCGGTGCCCACTACCGTCCATACTCTACATTTTACAAAGAATGAAAGAACCCATAACGCAGGCACACACTTGTGGAGCAGCACACGTTTATCTTTATGTGGCTGCCTCTGTTTATTGTAATTAGGCAGTGCGGCGAATCGATTTATAAGTTGTGGGAAACTTGAAACCCCCCGAAACGAGACTCCGAAGTTTGTCTTCCAATTCTTCATGGTTAGGGAGTCGCTGTGCCTGGTGTGATTCGTTCGGGCTGTATGCCAGGGCTTGCTAGTCAGATGTCCATACATTAAAAAAGGAAACCGTCAGGCCTGCACCTAAGGCGCAGCACAGTCACAGTAAAAGCTAGAAGAGCCGCCTTTCAGAGCGTTTGCTAAACACTAATTGGGTAACTACTGCAAGAACACTTGCTTGATATTTAGTAGGGCATTAATATTAAACTTTTTGGGGTTGTAGGCAGGCATTCGCTATGCGATTTTTCATCAGTCTTCAGAGAAGCGTGGTATCCGCTAAATTCTCGCAAGGAATTTTGTGCCAACTGTTCATGCAGTGGCTGACGACAATGAGAAATCATGGCTGAAGCACGTCTGTGCCACAGTTAATAGGGGAACAAGAACTAGCTTTTGTAATAATTTGGAACATTGGACGGCCCACTCGTTACACTATTCGCATTGCGTGACGACTGGTTGTTCTTTCGTTGTTTTAAGGCGCTTTATAAGTCGTATTAACGCGATTGTTTTGACGACATCAAGCTTGTCTAAGGCAACTTTACCAATAAGTCGCAAGCACCGACCTAGCTAAGTGGTAGAATACTAGGCTGACACCCAGCAGAGCAGGTTCGAGCACCTATGTGTAAATAATGCTAAGTTTTTTTTTCTAATTTTGCGCGATGTGGTTACCAACACCGGTGGCGACGGCGGTGGCAGACAACTGCGCGTGACCCGATTTGGGATCCCCTAACAGCTTTCGCTGTAAAAAAGTTGATGTGGTACATGACGCCATAGAGTTTCCTAAAATTAACGACAGGAGACTCGGTCACTGCGATCGTTCAGCGACCATGGGAATGATGTGTAGTACACACATTTGCCAAGTCTTCATACTTGCGGACGGCGAATCGTATACTTACGGCTTCAGCTATTGCTGTATTTCCGTTTTGTCTTAAACAAAGATTCAACCCTTTTGAACTTCGTGACTCGATTTGGAAAGGTAAGTATAAAAGATTAGGGTGGTGAAGAGCAGCCGCTGAACATTTGCTTTTGTTTGTTTTGTGAGAAAGCAGCTCCAAGCCACACGAACACACACGGAGCCAAAGCAGGCCAGAAGTACGAATATTAAGACAAATGTGTGTACTACCCATCATTCCCATGCCTGCTGAAGTGCCGTGCGTTGCAGCTCCCTTAGACACTATCGCCAGAGTTGCCTCTAGCGTATGTCAGGAAACTCTATGCGTGACGCCAGCTGGCCAACAAAAGAGTGTTCCACACTAGGCGCCAAGAATACGAGCGATGCTGACTATCAGGTTTCCGTAGCAATGGATTCCCGATAAGGTGTACCAAAGGTGACTTCCACCGTAGCTCGTTTGGGAAGCGAGCACAACCACCGTCATAGAAGTATTCGCCTGGGGATCTTTTTAAGGGCGAAGCTCCTTAACGCGTGGGTCAGTCCATCCCTTGTATGTATGTAGTAGTACGTAACCACAAGTGGCACATACCCGCTCTAGAGGGGGTATGTGCCACAGGGGATGCGAGATGGCAGATGGTGGTACTTGGGAATGTTCAATAGGTGGACGCGTGGACGTGCGGGCGGAAGGACGCACGAACAGACAGACAGATAGATGGACGTACTCACGGACGGATGCATGGAAAGACGGACGGACGCATGAATCGACGCACGGATGGTCGCTTGGTCGGACAGAAGCAAGAATGAACGGACGGACGAAAACAAGGACGGGCTGACGGACACTTCGCCCCACTTAACATCATTCACTCCGTGGATATGCTGTGATTTTTGTCGCGTGCTTACGGTTCCCAGAACATTCTCTGTGCTCGCTTCTGTATCATTAATTTAATGGACTTTAGGGTAGCCCAGTCGCTACTCAAGTGTGCAAAGCTGGAATGTTTTCATTGTTGGTAATTCAGCATTCTTTCATTTATGAACGTCTGATTTGGAGTGACCTAATTAAAAGTTTTATTAAATGAATAAAAATATTAAATTTCTTTTCATCTGTGAGCGCTGGACAAGCAACAAAGAATGTAAGCGCTATGAATGAAAGTTACTGCTTCTTCGGATATGTATATAATGAGTATTGGTCTTGAAAAAAAAAAAACGTAAACTTAGCAAACAGCCTTGCTGTACTACTGCTCAAAATAGCCTACCAAAGAATAAAAGGTAGGCTGCACGGATGAATCACTTATGTCATTTAGGTGTATTTGAGCACAAGAGATTTCAGTAAACATTTGTTGCGGACCAGGCTTTTGGGTAAAAAAAGTTTGCAGCATATCCACGGAGTGAATGATGGAGAGTGGGGCGAAGCATTCGTCCGTCCATGCGTCCATCTGTGTGACCGTCCATGCGTCTGTTCGTACGCCCGTCCCTGCATTCGTTCATGCATCCACCCCTGCGTCCGTTCATGCGTCCATCTATGCATCTGTCTGTGTGTCCGTTCGTCCATCTATTCAACACTCCAAGTCCCAACATCTCGCATCTTTTTATCATGTATTCCCGATATAGAAGCACCGCCATTCAGTGGACATTCCAAGGACTAAACGAGAGGTGGCACACGCACACTTTCTTACGGCTTGCGCTTCGGGTCTACTTCCCACCTTCGACCACATTGAGTTCATGGTATATACTAGTTCACTGTATTCATTGCACAGCGGGGCAATGCTCGCTAAACCTTTCTAAAACCAAGGAGGTTACGCCCAGCGAGTATAACGTAGCAACCTTTTCCTGTCAGGTAGTGCTCAATGTACATGCCAGTGGCTGCTAATGTGAAATGAGAGACAGGATAATTCAGTTTTTAATTTCTTACGGCTTGCGCTTCGTATCTGCTTCCCCCCTTTAACCACCTTGAATTCATTCATGGTATATACTAGTTCATTGTATTCATGGCCCTGCGGCTCAACGCTCGCTAAACCTTTCTAAAACAAAGGAGGTTACACCCAGCGAGTATAATGTAGCAACCCTTTCTTGTCAGATAGTGCTCCATGTACATGCCAATGGCTGATAATGAGGATCGCAGCGTGCGCGTTAACTAAAAGCCGAATGTTCCTGTCTCTCATTCCCCATTAGCAGCCATTGGCATGTACATTGAGCACTATTTTTTATTGTTAAACAACGCACAGAAGAAATCACTCACCGGCACCATCTTGGAGGTCAAATGTTATACCTTGCAGGTCAAAGCGTAAGACTGGTTACATGCTACGACGGGACGCGGGAAGGAGCTTCGCCCCTAATATTTATTTCTTATACGTTCCCGTCATGGAAATGAATTGACCTAATTTCTGAGAGTCCACATATTCTATATTTCCTGAACCTTTTGATTCGGAGTCTTGTGGGGTTTACTAGCTCGATGCAGAGCCCCCCACTCCGCGATGAAGTCACGACGATTGGACGAATGTCGAGCTTTGAACTGCTGGGGTGCTAATGTACGCGACGAGTAGGGCAGACTAGAGTGATCATAAGAGCAAAAGTTTTTGAGACGTCGAAGTCTAAGTACACAGGTTTGAAAGTGTGCACGCAAACCGTTTCTTAACACCCAGTGATGATTATGAAGAAGTATTTAAATGTGTGATTCTGTGCCCTAAACGGGCGGACAAAACAGAGTTGCAGTGTAGGCCACACAACATCGTGTCACCCATAAATGTGCGTGCAGTTTTGTAGGACATGACTGAAATAAACACGCCGCAATGTTTTTCATTGTAAGTAGCGAACTACGGTATGCTTCACGCTGTGTAGACACTATTTGTTGTCGGAAACGTCTGCTGGGATTGTGGTAGAGATGCTGAAGAACAATGAAAGAAAGCTGGAAGGCGTTTATTTGTGATAAAAACAGTTGGTGATTTTGTTAGCAACAGGGGGGAGGGGCGAGTAAATGGACACGTGATTGCCACCGCGGAGCCGAAATAGATTGGAGAACATGGTTGGCTGAATCGACAACCATGGTCAGTCGTAATGGTGGAGGGGACACCGTAGCGGCTAACCTTCGAAGTCACGTGTACTGGAGCTATCGACTCCACAGTTTAGGCTTGTGAACCTGTGAATACAGGTTAGCAAAGTGAAGATGGTAGCCCCAAGGAGTAAGAGGGACCACCGATATCGAAGTGTAGATGTCTGAAACGAGCGTCACGAGGAAGAAATGTCGCAAGAGGGGTTGCAGTTTGAAGGGGGGGACACTTGAGGCTGTTCACACTTGAGGGACAGCGTGACCAAAGACGAGCACCTATATTAACACTCAGCCACACAAGGAAAAATGATGAGCCGCTTGTGGCGCGGTAGCTAAGGTGAGGTAAAGAATGTAAGACACTAGAGCGTGATCAATGGAATGGGGCAGACATGGAGGGATCAAGACGTTTAGTCGACGTACAATGAACGAAAGACACGAAGGCATCAGCCATTATGACAGGGTGCTTGAGTCTGGTAAAAACACCACGACGTATCGGTCCTCGCCACCAATTCCTCTCACAACGTGGTGTGTCACCTTGGTGCTCCTCGCTCTTCCTATGTAATTCACCAGTGATGTCCATGTACATATTGAGATCTGCTCGCACGAAGCAGCTTCTGAGGTAGGCCAAGAATATCTCTATTCAAATCAATTCATCCCAGTAAACAAAACCAAAGAATTATACAGAGTTTGCTTGTATATTTCTTCCTTGCCCGATTTTGAACAGTGCACTTTATTCAGCGTCGAACAGGCACAATCACCACCCAACACGGCCAAATAAGTCCTGCTGCTTGCCGACAATTATTGGCTTAATTGCACAGTATCAAAATACCATAACATACATCTATTTGCTACATGCTGTCCATTGACTGCTGCGAAAACCGAGTCGTGTGATTTTATTAAGGTGTGCACGTTCTTTTGTGGCGAAACTTCTGCTAAATTACTTTTCTCGGTATTGAATATGGAAGTACTTGAACAGTTTGCTTTTTCAACATTCTTACATTTACAGATTAGGTCCGGGTGCGACTTCGACAAAGGGAATCTGCACGATGTTTGTTGAAGTTACATGCCTCTTCGTCTTTGCCAGCTTTGGCACGAACATTTGCCATGCAAGTATCTTCCCAATACACCGCAGGTGTTGCTAATTGTGCTTAAGAGACCACAGACACCAAGAGAGAATGCGGCGCTCGTTTTTATTTTGTAATTTATGACGTCTTTTTTTTAGTGTGCCTTTACGTGGAACCGGCTAACAAAGAGAGGGATAGAGAGAATAGAGAGAGTGAAATAACTTTATTAGGTCCACAATAGACGCGAGTTAACTCATCGTCACCTGGCTAGGTTCACTCGAGGACGATCAGGTGAAACCTGACCGCCCTCGCACGGGCTTTCTGGACGGCCAGGATATGAGAGTTGAGGTCCTGGGTCCTAATCAGCTTTTTTGTTTCTTCTTGTTGGAATGGGGACTGGCAAAAGCCCAACGAGAGTGCCACAGTTTTCAATCAGTAACACTGAGAGACCTGGCATGCCTTCCATACACGATCTCCTGCCGTATAGCCACGCATTGGTCAATACAAGCCTGAAAGAAGACTAATAAATGGTAAAAAGCAGAAAAAAAAGAAACTAACAAGGTCAAACCTAATACCAACTGTATAAATACGCTATAAAAAGTCCCAATAACTAACCTAATATCGCCAGAAATGCTTCAGAAATGTTCGGCTGACACGCGCTTCGTGCAAGAGAGGGCGCCACCCCGTCGGCAAGAGTGCGATTGGCAAAAGAACCGCTCTGCTGCCCGTGCTACCCACTGCCTCAGGTTTCACGGTAGTCAAAGCGCAGGATTAAGCGCAGAATTTAGAACTACACCAAGGCGTACACAACAACGGCGTTACCCCAGGCTTTCGTTCGGTCATCTCAAGTCTCACAGCTATCAACTCTGAATACAATACTTTCAGCCCGCCTCGGAGCATCAGCGGCTAGGGTGCTCGGCTGCTGACCTGAAGGTCGCACGATCGATCCCTGCCCCAGCGATAACATTTCAGTGTCGGCGAAATGTTAGAAGCTCGTGCACTCCTCGATGTCAGTGCGCGTTAAAACACACCACATGGTAAAAATCTCCAGAGGTCTAAACAACGGCATCCCTCGTAATCATATCATAGCTTTGAGAGTTATTACCTTACATAATAATAATAATAATAATAATAATAATAATAATAATAATAATAATAATAATAATAATAATAATAATAATAATAATAATAATAATAATAATAATAATAATAATAATAATAATAATAATGTACAGAATCGTCCCTTTTCCGTCTTTCAAAGAGATTTTTACATAGTTGTGTATATTCCCCTTCATTTTTCACTTTCTTCCCATGATTCTTATCTTGTCTTTTTATTCTTCCCATTTTGAGCTCATTTTTTCTTGTGTTTTCACTCTAAATTAATATGCTTTTTCTGAAGAGTGTCTGTATTGTGTTGTTATTCCTACTGTTTTATTTTCATATGTGTCTGCACAAAAACCACACGGTTGTTCCAGGGCACGTTAAATAATTGATTAATTTGTTTCTTGTTTCTTTATTTTGTCTTTTTTTTTCTTGTGTGTTATAAATGTTGTACCCACCCCCTCTGTAATGCCCTACGGGCCCTGAGGGTATTCTAATAAATAAATAAATAAATTATTCGATTAATTAAGGTACCTTTAAAATATTGGACATGATCAAAAATATTGCACCATCTCCCGCTAAAACGGACAATGTGTAGGTGCAAAGCAATGGGTGCTAACGCTTACACTGGCGACGGCGTTGACGCTTGCGCTAATCGCAGAGTTGTGCAGGAGAAGAACCTGGTGAGGTAAAAAGCATGCAGTGGTGAACCGGTGTTTTCTACTAACACATGCAAATCGCTGCTAATGCACAATGAGATACAGGAGGCTCCAATCGGACGCAGAGACCCGCAATCTACTTTTAGTTAACGCGCACGCTGCGATTTTTTTTATTCTTCACGAAGGAACAGAAAAATCTCCCACTTGCACCACCTTCGAAGTCAGAATCTAGCGTCTATATGCACGGGGTAACCAGTGCAAGGTTGTGCAGCGCGAGCAGTCGGTTTTGTCATCAAAACCAGCGCAAGAGGCCTACGGGACGGCTTTATGCTCTCCCATAATAGAGTACATAGTACTCTAAATCGTTCACCATTTTTTATAAACATACAAATTGTGCCTCTATTTGTGTACGCGGTGACATGCGGTATGAGGCACACGCGATGGCTTTCAACTTTGCCATAGTAGAGTACCGACAAGTCTAAGTCATTAAACAGTTTTTCTAAACACACAAACCCGCTTGCAGACACTGTCTGCGTCAACGTTTTGAGGTGAGAGATGGCATCATAGGAGAGGAGAGGGTGCACTTGCGCGAAAAGGGTGGAAGTGCCGCGGTGGTGTTCATTAGAGGAGAGAGAGGGGGAGCCAGCGTAAACTAGCAGACGCCTTCTACCTCGGCGTTGCAAGGTGAGGGAGGGTGCCGTAGGAGAGGAGGTGGACGGCATGCGCATGCGCAGTAATTGTGCATTAACACTTGAGAAGTGAAGAGAAACGAAAACGCCAGAGTGGCCTGGAAACCACGACGGCACGCGTTGGAGATGTTCACATTCGTCTGCCCCATCCCGCCGCCACTGCCATCGATACCTTGACAACTAATTAGATTTTGCCTGCTTTCTGAGAACTCAAGTTCGTACCGAATTTTAGTTATTCACGCAAAGTAGTGAAAAGAAACGGCTCACATCTTTTCAAACGTTAATTTGGGAGATAAGCCTGCAGAAACTGCACTAGCGAACGCACCGGCAGCGGTGGCGGCGGATGCAGCTGGCTGTACACAAACGCGAGACACGTTGGGGCATGCGGACTCACTCCTGCTGCACCGTCTGATTCCAGAGTTCTCTGCGATCGTATTCCAAACCAGGATTTCGATGAACGCATCCTCATTGAGGTCGTGAAGCTTCGTCATGCTGCATGGGTAGTTTGCGATTTGAGCCGATGCGAGCCACCGCCGACGCCTGTGCCGCCATGTTGAATCGGCAGCCGGCTGCTTAGGTCACGTGGTTTGATCTAGCGCAGCCAAGGCTATGAAGCGGAAACCGGATTTGGTTTCGCGTAGCGGGAAAATTTGTGTTGGAGCGATTCTTGCGCGCCGGCCGCGCGGCGTGGTTTTCCAGGCGCTTGGGCGTCAAAACGAGCCAGTTTCCTTAAAGTTTCACCGGTTTCGCTCTCTTGAAAGTTCTAGGCCAAGTGTGAACGCGCCCTGAAGGTGGACAAGACGCACAGCGAGTTGAGCTCGACAATAGGACAGAGAGGAAAAGGAAGGCCGGGAGGTCAACTAGATAATGGCATCTGGTTTGCTACCTAGTACTGGCGGTGAGAAAATAGGGGCAAGAAGAAGGGGGTAGATAGAGAGAGAGAAAAGAAACGCACGTGCACTCATTAGAAAACAAAAACACACACGGGAAGGGCATTCTGGCTACAGCCGTTTAGAAATCGACAATAATATACCTTGCATTTAGGAATGCAACGAAGACCAGCAGAGAAGACCGAAAAGAAACTTCGAGCCCCTTACCGACTACGGTGGGATCCTGGCAGCTTACAGAGAAGTAAAGAAAGCCCTGCCGCAACCGCACCGAGAACTTTCGCGTGCGGAGGCAGTAAAGTTCCGACAGTTGCAAACCGAGTACGTGCCGACACCGGCTCGGGCCCGGCACGTGTGGCGCGACATGTTCGTGGACTAAAATGCAGTGTGTGCGAACGTGAACTAGCTACTCTCCGCCACATCATATGGGGAGGGTGTAGCAGTGCTATGCACAGTGGGAACGGGCAGTGTCAGGACGCCCCGTATCCCGAAGAGGTGAGAGCGTGGATACGCACCGAAGACCTCAAGACGCAACGAAGGGCCATCCAGTGGCTTGAGGAGGTTTTGGCGAAGCGACGGAGACAAGGAGCCGACGACCCATCTAACGGGTGCGGAGGTACCCGAGTAACTGTCGCCTAGTCGTAGCACAACACCCTCGAGGTCTAGGCTCTGAGATTATCCGACTCTAATAGCTGTAATCTTCAGATAAGGAGCATCCACGCCCTGCAAGGCCGGGGACTTTCTACACGCCGGATGTATAAATTGGTGATATTTCTCCCTCTCTCTTTCTCTCTCGACTAATGCTGGACAGAAAGTGGAGGAGTTTAAATTTTTTATGACACTCTTCTGGGAAATTGCAGGCCTCTGCTTCCACTGGGCTGCGTCCTTTCTATGTGTTCGGTCCCATGGTGAACAGTTTGGAAGACGTGGACAACTTCATGGGCCTTGGCGTGAATGCTATAGAGGCTGACCTCAATTTTGCCTCAGATGGAACGCCACAAAAGTTCTATCATGGATGGCCGTGTGGCTGCCACCGCGACTGCGAGAAGTCGGCGGGAGTGATTACCTACCTCTCCTATTTAAGAGATGCCGTCAGTCAAAGTGAGTGGATCGCGATGAAAGCGAATATAAGTAGGCCGCGAGAAATCTAACGTCACTTTACCAATTTTCCTGGTAATCTAATGGAGTGGCAAAAAAAAAAAAACAAAACTTCCGTTGACGACGCGACATTTCAAAACGTAGTAGGTATTCACCATGTAAAATAGCTAGAAGCTGGGCTAGGACTAACGTTGTCCTCCCTCTTCAACCTAATGCAATAACGCATAAGAGCTAACTTTGCAGAAACTGTGGTGTGGGGGGAATTGGGTGTGAGCGAAAAATTGGCGTTGTCCGTAACCAAAAAATTGTGGGGAAAGCAATAAAAAATAAGAATAAGGATCCCTTGCCCTCAAGGAGTCACGACAGCGGCAAGTCCAGTGCTTGCACGTATTTCAGAAAAAAATTGAATAGAGTCATCGCATTGCACAAGGACACAGGTTAACGGATGTGATATGGCATGACAGAAGCGCGCAACCACACAAGGCGTCACACTGTGGTTGGCGCAACTTCTGAAGAGGGGAGAGGAGTGGGTTAAACAACGGGTAAAGTGGGCGGCAGCTACGAAAGAAAGTCTCTCTTTCGGACAGATAACGATGCAGCTGCGTTCATTTTTTTTTTCACTGGTATTTGTTCCAGTCTTTACCTTTCTAGTCTCTTATACTCTTGTTCTATCTGTCTGTGTGCGTTCTAGTGTCACTTTTCTTAATGCCATGTGAGCTATTTAAATAACAGTTATTGCAGATGTTTTATATGCTTCGCTTGTTGCATTTCACATGAATGCTGGAGTTTCAACCATTTCGATCCTCGCTTTGTAAGATATTGCTTTTCTGTGAAAAGAAATTTGTGCTAATATTCCTCTGAAGTAAAACATAATAGAAACTTCCCAGTTCATCCGTAAGATATTTTCTACAGCCCATATTCATCCTTAAAACGGTATATAAGGAATACTTTATTGTTCTAATAAATCTATCTTACCTAAGCATGAGTTATCCATAGTTTCTTTGTGTTCTGTAAACCTGTAATATTGATTCTTTTTTATTTTATTAATCCGGCTATAGTGAGTATGTTTTAAATGTAGTCCTGAATGTGTACCGTGAGGAACAAACGACTATTCTTAAATACACCTATTTAACTTTCACTTGAAAAAAATCACCAAGCTACTTCAAGCACTGCACATACAAGTACCCTAAAACGAGTGCACAAACATTTATTAGGAGGTGTGCTTTTTAATGACATTTATAATTTGTTGAAAAATTTTGCTTGTATTTTGCACTGCATGGACTCGTGCACGCTAGGTGGCAAGTTTGCTGGTAAGCTGCAGCTGCTTTACGTCGACACCAAAACTGAAAGCCTTTCTTCTGGCACGAAATACCAGGCCGGCATCAACCTCGCCAACAGCTTGATCAACACTCTTTGGAACAATGGTTTGTTGTTACGTTTATTTGTACCTCGGGGCACTCATGCTATTTCGTTATTGTATTTTCTAAAAGGGAAGCTCCATATTGTACATGTTTTGAAATGAAGGCGAATAAATCACGATCAATAATTAATAACTATTGCTAGTCACACATAGCCTCTGACTACAAATATTATCATTGCGATTCTTTAACGGGTATTCCTGTGAGCCAGAGGGAGGGGACTCATAAGTGAGTTCGCCGACCTATAAGGCACGCTCAGGAGAACACATTTCTTCAACGCCTGTGATCTGCCCGATGGCAAGGCTTACATTGTCAGAGTATTGCTTATATATTTTAAAAAGCGGCGCCGGATAGAATCGATAACACACCATAAAAACGTTTCCGAGTCGATTAAACACTCATAGAAGTGCATCAGTGTGCATCAGTGATTCCTTTAGAAGAGAGAACGCAGTATTGTACGATTGCTAAACACAGTGAATACGGCTACGGTTTAGCCGAATCATGAATGAATAGCATCATATTCTTCTATTTAGAACAAAGGTATGCATATATTTTTTCGTCCGTTATTAAGACTATTTCTATTTAAAATCCTGGGTTGGTGGACGCTGAAATCATTGGTGAATCTAAGGGACAGAATAGTGGATATGGTGGAAATAAGAGTGTATATGCTGAAAGCTGTAGTGGTCATAATGGTTGATTATGGCGAGAGTGAAAAAAAAAAAAAGACCGAAGATGGTGTTGGTGGCGGCGAGCCTATGGTGGCGATACTAGAAAATGCCCGCTGATGGTGGCGATGGAAAACGTATTTAGCTTATGGCTTGGTAAGAAGCTCGAATACGGCGGCGTGATGGAAGCTTGGTGGATGACAGTGGCATGAAGTGAGAGCACATGGCAGTATGTGAAAGTAGATATTTGTACAGTTTCACTCTGGATTGCGCAGATAAATATATTTACGGTTGAAAAAAAAAAACTAACGCTGGTCCTTACGCTTTCTAGAACAGTTTTTTTTTCTGCCTTTGCGGTGTCAACAACGCCTCCATTTTTGTGCAGCGTAGAATGCGGCCATGAATGTTTACATTTCGTGCACGTACTTATATCAGTTTGGCGTGCGCATTGTGTTGCTTTGCTGTGATGCTTAGAAGACTAGTGGTGTTGTGATGAACAGCGACAGTGAATGTGTTACATCGCAACGCAGTGTGGAGAACTAAATGAGCTCTGGTTCGCAATTGCACCTTCTATTGGTAGATCTGAATAGAGCTACCACATGATGTCGCCACGCTAGGAATGCCAATCTGGCAATTCTCGCAGAATAAATTACCCAAGCCTAACTAAATTTAGGTTAAGGGCGTGTGGGGCTAAAATCCACAAAATTTTACCTTCGACATGCGTCGAGACGAGCCCCAGCGAGCGTGACTTCCACCATTCTGTTCTACCACCTTGATTTCCACCAAAGGTTAGGGGCCAAACGACTGAGCCCGTCCAAGTTTCATCGGCGCTTCTGTGTTTCAGAGTTTCGGCGCTTCTGTGTTTCAGGGCGCCCGTGGCATTAGTTACCCTAAATGAAGCATTTTTTTATTATCTACGGTGTCCATGCAAAAAGCGACGCACATCGATGCGACGCGGTTCCAGCACTTGTAAATTTGTATGCTTACTTGACCATTATGAAGGAATAAATTTTCCGGCAACTACACTTGTTTTCGCCAAGCGTTATGTAGTTGTTGCTAAAGCGATAGAGCTAAAAATCAGTGCACTGGCACTAGTGCGTTATACGTTGCGCAAAAAAAAAAAAAACATCACAATTCTCAACCAGTTGTGTGCGCGTATTTATCGAGTCAGCCTGGAGACGTCATAAAGCCTGTGCAGATGTCACCCATTGGAACGAGCAAGAAACACACACAAAATTTCACAGTAATTGCCAGTATTTCTATCTGCTCCTCAGTTCAACTGATTATTTTTTTACAGTTAGTAAATTTTATAAAAACATAGTGGTGTTGCGGTATCGCAGGGGCAATTGTTACAGGCTGAACTTGTTTGTGTTTAATAAATGCAAAAATATTGGTAGTAAGCGTCAATGCCACCTGTCTCCTGTACGCAACATACAGAACTGAAGTTGGAGGGTCAATTATTAAGCTGACTAGTCATTTTACAGTGAAAAATGCACATGTCTGCATGGCGCCGTTAAAACTTCACCTCTCCTGTTTTAGTGACTGTTAGCGTTGCAGTGATCCCCAGAATCACATACACAGTGAAGTATTAGCACAGTCAAATGTTCACTGTTAATTAGACTGGACATAATTTCGAATAATTGAACCCGTTTTGAAGCACCATTTAATGCATATAAGTGTAAAATTTGCGACGGCACGCCACGCAACACGAAATTGCAGGATATGTACATGCCTTCAGTTTGAACATCGGTACTAATTCGTAAACAGGGTAGACTCTTTCTAAAAAAAAACAACGACCCGCAGAACGGCCTGTTGCTTGTGAAACGCAAGCGCTATAGTCGGACAGGAAGGGCCATAGGGCCTTCTCAGTGTGTTGGCCACTCTTGATCTTTGTCGCCTGAATAGTGACAAACTTAATTAATTTTCTTTTAAAAAGTCGGCGTAGTTACGCCGGCTTCCGGAGAGACCTAAGACCAAAAGCAATGAATGTCGTGAAGATCGGTTGCTCGGAGTGCACCATTATTACTATCTACAATATGTTTACTGTCTCTTGTGATTACCTCTTGTGGTCACTGTTCGTAGTGAGGCTTCTCTTGTAACCTTCATTGGAGCTTTCACAACGCCAATAGCGTTGTCAGATGTTTACTACAAAATGTTTGCTAAGGGGTTAGTTATTTGGTTAGTGTTCTTGAAATCGGTACTGATTTTCAAACCAGACACGTGTAAACAGGGGTCGGTTCATACAAACAGGCAATGACATCCCTCCAACACTTGTTAAGTATTGCTACAGTTATCAAATACAGCTTGCAATACTGCAGGTAGACTTTGCCAATGCTTTTGACCAGGTCCATCATTCCTTTCTCTTTTCCCTTCTTAAGCATGCAAAAGTAATCTGTTTTGTGCTGGAAGGCGTTAAACTTTGTTACAATGATTGTTCAACTCGGCTAATTATTAATGGACATCTGTCAAACCCGTTACCCATTCGCTCCTCAGTAAAACAAGGCTGCCCAATGTCCCCAAAGCTATTTGCACTTGACCTTGATTTTCTGTGCTTTAGCGCAATACAATCAAATTGTATTGACACCATCAATATAACAGGGAATGCAATTAAGACATTGGCTCATGCAGACGACGTAGCCCTCTTTTGTTACGACAAACGAAGTACTGAGAATGTATTATCATCATTAGGTAAAATGGGCATTGTATCGGGAGCTCATTTAAACTCATCTGAAAGTTTAGGACTATGGTTTGAATAATGGGGTAGTACGCCCGACCAGTTCGCAGGACTAATTTGGACTTGTATTGTAACAACGTACCTTATAGTGTGCCTTTATATCGGTACAGATTCAGTGTGCGGAACTAGAAAAAGCACGTTACTAAGCTTCGATGACAGGCCCTGGCTAATCTTTCACATCGCCTTTCCATCCGTGGGAGAGCTGAACCTTGCAATAATTTTTTAGCTACGAATCTTTTCTTTGTATTGCAACTTATTCACTGCACGCGATCTTACATACAGCATTTTCACCAGACTTTCGCACTTTTCGCGTGGTCTTCGACTTTTGAACCAATGAGATGAGGCAACCTATTCAGGCAATTAATGGATGGAGGGCAGCGGTTTAGTTCATTTATACCTATGGCAAACAGTTTTATTGTTCTGTTTTTTTTACAACTTCTATCCCATAATTCGATTATTCTTACAAATTACATTTGTTATTGTCTTACCTGACTTGATTGTTTCTTCATATTTCTCTGCACGCCTGCATTTGTTGGCATTTATACAATAAATTAAATTGTTGTCCGGTTTTTCTAAGTCTACGTTTCCATAAAATACTTAAGCAGGAAATTCTATAGAAATTTCTTATCCATGCTTTTTTTCACCTCCGCTTTAGCACTCGTTATATTCCGACCTTTCAGGGCATGATTTACTAAAACGAGTGCAGAAAACGTATATTAATAAACTTCATACAGATAGGCTGCAGGTAAAACCATGATTGCCAAAGAAGAGTATATTTATTTTTCCGTTATTTGTCATCTCTGCGCCGTACTAGAGATAAAAGAAGACTGCTTTATTAGTTGCAGAGATGCCCTTCTGTATTGAGGTATTCTTCAACACATCGTTGAAAAGATTTTAGCATTGATTAACTTACTACACGTTATCTTCTCCGAACATGTCTTGATGAAGTGCCCTTTGATATGTTCTTTCTTATCGGACTGCGCAGTCTGAGGAAAACGTGCGTGCAAGACCGTAATGCAGGGCCAACGACTGCTTCAAGCATGCATTTCACGCGCATGGCTCTTCATCTGAAAGGCATCTAAGAATAACTTTATTTCAGACCGGACTGGCACTTCATCCTAAGAGGTGTTCATCCTTACCAAGCCCTTGAAGAACATTTCCTCCTTTTTGGACTTGCTTAATATATGTGTATGTAAGCTTTTGAATGCTTGTGCAGTAGTTTTGGGATTAATGTCGCTGAGTGAATGCATTCTTCTAAGTCGAAGTAAATGTTACATTTTCGAACATGCGTTATAACAAATACCTCGAAGAAAAGAAAAAGTCAGCATGGCGCAGTGATTAGAGTGTCAGGCTGGAAATCCGAAGGTTCACGTTTGAGTCTTCGTGGTTTCATTTTTCTTTTTTTCTTTTCTTTCGCACCAACTCGAGCATTGATTTCTCTGCAATTATTTTTTATGGCTCCTTGTCACGGTGTTTTTAACACTACAGAGCCATTTTGCGCTCCGCCATTGCTGACACTCCAGTATCTAGAGCATACAACGTGAGCCATCAATATTTCCTTCACCCTAATCCACCACAACGGATGGCGGAATCCACTATTCGTATGGTGGGCATATTTTACGTAGGGTGTAGATTTGTCATTTCACATAAAATTGATTATAAGAATTATGGCTGGACATTTCTCGCGATGAGTCTCTGATTTTATTATGAGGAACATCGTCGTGAAGGGCGCGAGAGATTAGGACGCCGCATAAATAATTATGCAACGTAATGACAAAATGACGTGGTCACCTGCGTCATCGACTATTTTCTCGCTGCTCACCAGAATGCGAAAATTGTACCTACAAGTAAATTATAAACAAACTGGGACTTGTCTTGTAAAAGTGAATTTTGTTTTGTGAAATTTGCTTTGTGACCTTTGTTGGCTCTGCAAATCATGAAAGGAACATGACCACTCTTTCTTGACTTGGTCATCTCACCAAATACAGTCTCTGGGGACTTCAGCGTGAGATTTTTAAAATAATTTACTATTGATAAACTTATTTCTTTTTATTTTCATTCTCTTTCTTCTCGAAATATGTTTTCTTTCATTAATAAAATTTGTGAGTAGTTTACATCAACAAGCACATACCGTTTTCCAAGGCACAATACCATCCGAGAACATGCTGAACGTCATTTTGTCGGTGTCCTCTACGCTGGACAAGGAGATCCTTTCGGGAGCATTCGACACAATCAAGCGAGCCGAGAAGTCATCATTATTTCTCGACCACGTGGGTAAGTCAGGGAAGTTTTAGGATTCAAATAACATGGTAACGCCAATGTCACACGGGTAAGTTTGATAGCGATCCGCAACGGACATCTCAATGCCGTTGGTGTGGCATTTATCAGTGTGTATACTTATGTAATTGCAATTTGCAGCCCAGTAGCACACAAGTAATGAGGCTGAGAGCAGACGACTCTATGTCACTGGCACTCGCTGCACATGCTACCCGACTCATCGATGTGCTCTAGAAGCCAAACTTGATGCGCTCTAGAAGCTAGTTTCGTAGGCCCCGCCATGACGGTATAGTGGCTAAGGCACTCGGCTGCTGACCCGCAGGTTCTGGGATTGAATCCCGGATTCAGCGGCCGCATTTTCGATGGAGACAAAAATGCTGTAGACCCGTGTGCTCAGATTTGGGTGCACGTTAATGCACCCAAAGTATTCAAAATTTCTAGAGCTCTCCGATACGGCGTCTATTGTAATCACATAGTGGTTTTGGGACATTAAACTCCGGATATTAAGAATAGTATTATCAAGTTTCTTATGCTCCTCGCTTCGGTGCCATATGTTAGCAGAGACGAAATACAATGGTCGTATACACTGTGAGCTTTAGTGACGGCTGTTTGCACGCTTGCTTTTTACTGCCATAGTACTTATATGAACACTCAGTTGAATTTCGCCGTAGCCATCACCATAATTTTCCGGGTATGTGGGCATTTTTAGGTATCTGTATATATAAAGAAGCATGAAGAAGAAATAAATCACAAGAAAAAACAATACAGAACACACGATGGGAATTCGAGCCAGCGAACGCTCACTCCGCAGCGCATTTCTTAAGAGACCTGAGCCAGGGAGCAATTTTTAACGCGATAGCGTGAAAAAGCTCGTTTCACTGAAATTCCGGCGTCGACTTTGTTTGCTGTAAGAAAAAGTTATCATTTTTGCGTCAACAAAAATTTTAGAATTATAAAAGTACAATAAATAATAAAACATTGTGGGTCTACGTGGGGATCAAACCCGGGTTGTTTGCATAGCAAGCGGGTGTTGTACCACGCAGCCACGTCTGCGCTTGTAATTCTAGTGAAAATAACTTTCCCTGCTTGGAAATGCATTGAAAGTAACATTCATGCTTCACAAACATATGTGTCTCTTATACATGATTTACAATACAACACCAATTGTTGCCGTAACAATGCGTGGTAAAAGCGTGCAGTGCCATTGGGCGTCAAAAGATGGAATTGTAGGTGACGTGACGGTGTCCGATGTAAACAGGCTGTCGTCGCAGGTTACATGAAAGAGCGAGAAGTACAGGGAGCGAGGTGCCGAAGTAGAGCAGCGGCCGTGGCGTGTACCAACATTCTACGCGCCTCTAGCCAAGAGCCACGAGCGCTCGTCAGCTTTTTCTTTAGCCACCTGGCCACACAGAAATAGAAGTGAGCCACGTGGCTCGTGAAGCGCGAGCCACGAAATAGTGAACGGCTGAGCTCCTGGCCTGGTTGGACGCTCCAGTGGCGGCTACAGCTTCGCCTGCGTCCTGAATAAAAGGTGCGACCTCCGCATAGGCTCATCGACGCCGTCTCACCTATTCTTCCTTCACATATGATGACCCTGGACCAAAGGACAAGCAACCGGCGCTGCACTACGGTCACGGAGCTTTGTGGCTATGTTCCAGCCAGCTCAAGCCATGTAGCCACATATTGACCAGCCTCTACCCCTGTTCTGCCCCACCGATGTCGAGTGATGGTTCCTAGAGTTCGAGGCTGCCCTGGAGCTCAACAGCATGTGGCTCCAAGAATTCATGTTCGAGGTCCTGGAGTATGTTCTTCCACCAGACCTCAAACGACGCCTCACCTATTTTCTTGCAGCTACCGCCCATATCACAGACTACGGGACGCCGTTTTGCAGTTTTGCGGTGCTGAACAACACCTCCAACAATGTACTGACCGAAGAAAAAGCGCTTCTCTATCGATCGCGATCCAGCCTTTTCCGGAGTTCGCAGTTCCCAAAAGCAACACCACGCCGTCAACTATGCCTCCCTCACTATGGACAGTCCAGATTATTGTCCTGCCAACAACCACCGGCTGCACAGGTGATGGAGATCACCTAGCCGCTTCAAGCAGCCCATCGACCGAAAGGCCCACCACCCCGGTGTCTCCGCTTCCTGTCTCCGAGGTGTTTTTTTTGCCACCAGAGCCACTTCCACCTCTCTCTTTAGCATATTGGACACCGATTACAGCTTCGCTCTCCATAGGATTCCTAGGAAAATCCTGTCCTGCTGCACTGACTCCCGAATTGCCGATGACAGATGAGCCAGCTGATCCACCTGGTGACTTCTCGGGCACAACTCTTCTATGTTTTCATCCGCTTTAGGGCAAGAAGTTTTAAGGCCCTTATACAGCCAATAATTACAATCATTGTCCTTATCTCTTGTCCCATGAACTGGCGCTCTTTCGCCATTAAATGGCCTTTGCGCCACAAAGCACCAAACAACATTATCATTCTCGGGCGCAACTGCCAAGCGTCCCACTAGGATGGAGATGACAGCGTACAACGCACCGGGCAAGACAGGCTTCGAAGCGCCCGCGCATGCCCAACAGACACGCAAGGAGGGAATAAGCATGCTCCCCTGGCCGCGTGCTGCTCGTCACCAGACTCTCAAGGAAATACCACAACAACTGTTTCAAAGTCCAGTCTTACTGCGGTGTCTGCACCTCCTCTGCGTGACATCCTCCTGGACCAGGCCCGGACATGCTAGTGGCCAGGCCCCGGAAATGCAAGCGCCTTGGCTTCTAATGTGCCAACACCCGGCCACGACCTCACACGTCGCCGAGTTGTGACTCGGTGACATCATTGTGCCTAAAGCCAAATGCTCGGGCAGCTTTGCACCCGCCCTTTCAAAGTAGCCGAGGATGCAGGCATCCACCGCAAGAACGCAGAAGTATGGCGAAGGCACCTTTTGAGACGTCGTGAAATGCGGAAAAGAGGCTCCACACATCACCAGTTGGCACTGCGCCGACGACGTCGTGCGCAGCACCAGCAACATGAACGCCACATTTCCAGCGCCACCTCGCCATTTGAGGTGCAGCCGTCCACCTACGCTAGGCATCAAGGTAACATTACTACGCCACGCTGCAGCAAACGTCGGCCGGTGTCCGCACGCCTTCAGCATGGATGCCATGCAACGCGCCATTTGGCGTCAGGTCATCGCCGACAGTCACGCCTGTGTTGTAGGCACGTTACTTGCGTCCCGCGCCCATACGGACGACCACCCTTGCTTCCAGCAGTCTCCGTCCCTCGCAACCCTCACCCGCTCCGCTGCTTCCAGTGCTGTCCACCGGAACTGTTAAAGAGCCAACGTTTTTTTTTTCACGATAACCACTCGGATTTCCCCGCGGACAATCCATGGACTGTCGCTCATGTACATAGTATCTGTCTCTATTGGTTCTCCTTTTGCACACGCTTTTGAAATCGCGCAAAGCGCTATAGAGAGACAGCCTATGCAGCACCACGCCAGTTTTGGCCAGCTGCCCGCGCAGAAAAAGAAGTGAGTCACGTGGCACGTGAAGCGCGAGCCACGAGATACAGAACGGCTCAGCTCCTGGCCTGGCTGGACGCTGCACCGGTGACTCCGTCTACGCCTGCGTCACGAATAAAAGATGTGACCTCGACAAGGGCTCATCGCCACCGTCTAGTCTCTCATTCCTCTACAGAATGACCATAATGACTTCTTAGCTTCAAGCCAGTCACCCACTACATGAAGCACACATGCTACCACACCCTAAGACCACGTAGTGGGTGCATAGCAAGTTCGAAAAGATTTCTCGCACTAATTGTTTCAAGTACACACTGGGAAAGGAATATTCCTATCGCGCTCAACTCCTGAAGGCGAAGCATAAGGGTCCCCCACTTTTTTTGTTACCTGAAGTTTACGATTTCCTGCCGCAGCAAACACACGTATTCGACACACAAATTGCATGGAAAGAAAACAAGCGTAACAAATGTGATGTGATTTAGAAAAGTATACTTGTCGCAGACTCAAAACTGTTTCAGTGAAACCAGGTCCTCTAACATAGAGGCTATATTGGATGCACAGGGGCTGCTCCACGCTCCGTACTTTAAAAGAAGATGTAATGTGTAACAGCATCGGGGTCGGAATTGCCAACACTTTCAGCGCGTTTCTCAAAGACAAAGTCGTTACAACTGTGACGCTTGCTAGTTCACGCTTGTTTTGTGTACACATGTGTGTTCTCTTCGAGTGTCATTTGTGCTTCAGCGACACTTATTGAGCTGTTTGACGCAACTCGTGTGACATTTCAATTTATCGCTATAGCATTTTGCACTACATGTAGGTACACAGATGCAGATAGTTTGAACAACACGCAGTAATCTGATCTTTCACTTCGAGCAGGTGTTTCAGCTGAACTGTATAAGGGTGCACTTCATTTTAAACACCATGAAATGAGAATGTTATCATATATAAAAAGTTTAGGTATGGTTTATTTTTTTTATAATTCACAGATGGTAGCAATACATATATGACTTGTGTGACTCTTGTTTAGTGCTTGACATTTATTGGCGTTGATAGATCGCAATTACTGTTATTGCACGCATAAGGCCTGAAGAAACATGGTATAAGGAACGTGGTACACAAGGAACAGTACTACGTGCAACATATGCCAATGGATGTTATTTTTCTCCTTTTTGCATTGTTTCTTTCTGTATTGAAAAATGCTACAACTGCCGTAGGCAAAAGCTTAAGCAATGGCAACACATCTCAAAATTGTTTGGTTCACAGGTTTTGACATAAGTGGATACCAACTGCTAAGTGTGATTGCCGATATATATGAAGAGCTGGGTATCCAGCAACATCGCTGGCAGGGTGACGGCACGACTAACTGCTTGATTGACATTTACTGGGAAGTACGTACTAAAGCTGCGATATCACGACGAACTGCGGCCAACACGACGGATGATTACGTGGACAAGGTGTACGTCTTGACTGTCGACAATGCGTCGACCATGCGTCGGTTCCTCAGGTATGCCCCATGAGTGGTGTTCAGGAAGTTACAGTGCAATTCATATGAGCCCTTTCTTGCGATGCTGGTTGGCGTAATATCGGCGTAACGTATAGATTTATATTAGGGGAGATATTGGCGAAAGTAGGTTCACGAGCGCAAGTTCTTGTTCGTTTATTAGTCCACCAGAACATGGCCAAGGTGCTCCACAAAATACAAAAAGATATAGGCGCAATCGAGCCACATACAAAGACGCCTCTGACGAAAATGGAAAATAATATCTTGTGGCCGCTTTGACTTTCTGGCTAAAACACTTCAGCCAACTAGTACGTGAACGCAAAATGGCAGATGCCATGTACTGTGCGATGAGGATGTATTTAAAGAACACCATATGATGTAAATATTCGGAGCCTTTAAAAGGTGTTCTTCATACTCAGCGGCTGTTGATTTATGCGAGTTCACACCCCAAAGCCACTGAGGCTATGAAAGCCGCCGTAGTGTGCTAGTGCAGATAACATTGACCACCGGGGCTGTTTCGTAGCATGCACTGACAATGAAGAGTGTACTGAACTATAGCACTCAGCCCACATAAAAATGCATCAATGTGCCAACGACAATATGTTAAATTTTCTTCAATTTACTTACGAAGAGCCATCAATGTACACTCAAATAAAGAATTGCGTGCCTCAGATAGAGTGTCTGTTACAAATGTAAGAGGGAAATTTCACTGAAAAAGGTGCCTTGATAAGATCTCAATGCATCAAGCACCAACCACTATAATTAACTGAGTGTGTTACGAAACAGCGTAGAGGTTTCAGCCACATAGTTTCATGAGAAAAGTGATTTTCGCAAATATATTTTAGCTAAAGTGAGCTAAGCGAAGCCGAGTTAACTAGCTGGCTGTTTACTTGCCAAGATGACCACGCCAGTTGAGTCGTTGTTTGGCAAAAAGTGGAAGCGGGTTTCATGCCTGAAAAATACAACTTAACAGCGCAGCTAGCAAGGAAGCGCCACCGTGTGGCAAACGCGCATCGACGTTTGTCTGCATCTTGTTTATTGACATGTGCTATTTTCCCGCATCGTTCATCATCATCACATCTTTTAAAGACGATAGTCTTTCTTGGGGAGCTACAACGCAAAACGTTTTGGCCTGTCTGTCTGTCTGTCTGTCTGTCTGTCTGTCTGTATATTTATCTGATTTTTCGCCGTTAACGGTACCCTGAATGACACCAAACGATACCCCAAACGGCCGACCACATCCGCAGCGCCCACCAATATTGCTCAAGATTCAGCGTTCATACTTGGGCGATTGTCAATTAGGAAGGACTAATCGGTGATATCCGAGGCACCATAGGAAGACGTCAATAGCGTGTATGTGTGCATTTTACTAGAAAATGCCTACATGTGTAATTCTAAGGACCGTAGCGTTTATCACGCTGCGCTGAACAGGCAACGCTTGTACGAAAAGGCAAGTGTTTCCAACGCTTCGCTAAGACAACACAGTGGCGGCACCTACCCATCGCCTTGCGTTCTACACCTTATCACCTCCGAGAGGGGCGCACACGCCGCGTGATTCGTTTTCCAGGATAACTGCCAGATAGCGCTCATGTCTCACGTGTGACGTGACTTGATGCGCTCGTTCGCCTCCGCTGCATGCTTGAGGCACTCTGACGCAGCGTCTCCAGAATATCATTCACCGATTTTCTTGCGCAGAACACCAAAACAACTTTTTGCCGACTCTCTCCAGATGCAAGACTATCGTCTTTCGACGACATTTGAAGTGTAACACGCAGATACGGGGCCATTTTTTTCGTACCGCTTTCTATGCTATACATTACATTGTTAAACAGCGGCATAACCTCTCCCTCCTGTGTTATCTTTTTCTCACCAATTTATCCGTCCTGTTGCCCATTAGTAGTTTCACTTCCAATCCTCTTACTGAGCTATGCTAGCCCCGCCGCGGTGGTCTAGTGGCTAAGGTACTCGGCTGCTGACCCGCAGGTCGCGGGTTCGATTCCCGGCTGCGGCGGCTGCATTTCCGATGGACGCGGAAATGTTGTAGGCCCGTGTACTCAGATTTGGGTGCACGTTAAAGAACCCCAGGTGGTCGAAATTTTCGGAGCCCTCCACTACGGCGTCTCTCATAATCAAAATGGTGGTTTTGGGACGTTAAACCCCACAAATCAATCAATCAGCTATGCTATACAAAGCTATGTCGTCATAGTTTAGTTGATACTACAAGCAATTGATTGACTGATAGATTAATATGTGGTGTTTAACATCCCGAAACTGCCATATGATTATGAGAGACGCCATAGTGGAGGGCTCCGGAAATTTCGATCACCTGGGGTTCTTTAACGTGCATCCAAATCTGAGCACACGGGCCTACAACATTTTCGCCTCCATCGGAAATGCAGCTGCCACAGCCGGGATTTGATCCCGCGATCTGCGGGTCAGCAGCCGAGTACCTCAGCCACTAGACCACCGCGGCGGGGCTTGATACTACAAGTGGCTTGAGCATAACGGCTGTTAAAAAGACGGGAGTGTGCTGTGCATGCTTGAATGATGTGCTGTGCGGTGTTATTATCACAATAAAAACAACAGATGGGTTTGCCTGTGATGGTATTATACGCAAATGGTAATAATCATTGCCTCGACGATTTTTAAATGAGGAATATAGAATGGTCTGTATTAATTAAAAATGGTAATTAAAACATCAACTGGTAAACATGATCATATATTGAATCATGCTATGTTGACTACTTTTGAAAGTTTCACCCAACTTTATTACAGGTTGAAGATAGATGGTATGTTTACGAACCAGCCAGCAACTCTTCTGAGTGTCCTCCAAGAAACAGAGTTCTCGACGATGTACCAGCTTGCCACTGCGAATGATAACCCATGGAAGCGTATTGTTTGACTAAAGGTTTCTTGTTTGACGTAAAACAAATTACATGTGAGCTCAAGCCCCATGATTATAAACAACTCGCCAACCCTGAAAACATGATTATAAACGATTGTTCGGGTTTTGTGTCCCAAAACCAGGATATGATTGGGAAGGTCCACGTAGTGGAGGGCTCTGGAAATAATGCCCATTTGGGGTTCTGTATAGAAGAGGCTATCCACGGCAACGCGGGTAGCAATAACGCCGTGTACTGCATTTCTCATACTGGCACGTCTTCTGCGCTCTCCCATAGTACAGTACCAAGAACCCTAAATCATTTAACCATTCTTTTTCCTGAACAAACTGTACCTCTTAGTCTAACTACAATGGCTTCTAGCGAATCGCCTTCACTGAAAGCTGAACGCCTCGGCTGAGATTGGATCTTGGCGCCTTCGAGTCAGCAGTAAGGCACCGTAACCAATAAAGCACTGTTCTAAGCAATTTGCCAACCTCATTGAGCTGCACTGCGACGCGGTCATTTCATGCGCCGATTCTTTGGTTGAAAGAGTAAACACTTTATGCACTTGCAGTGTGCACAAGGGTTTGCAGAAGTGGATGCATGGCACCGCAAAGGAGTTCTGCGGAAACCTGCAGGGGGGGGGGGGGGGGGTTGAAGAGTTAAAAAAGGAAACAAAAGCAAGCACGCGTTTGTAGCAGGGCATGTAGCACAGTGAAAACTTTACAGAGAATATTATGGCGAACGCAGACCCTTCATTACAGCGTCGTCAGTCAGTCATTGGTTCTCTCCAATGGCGAATCATTCGTTCAAGTGGAGCTACCTTGCCGCTAATAAAGTTACTTGTGAAAAAATAATCAACATTATATTATTCCATAACTATCTGTTCGTTAACTTTATGGCCAATGTTCATAGGAAACAGTCGTAGGGCAATATAACTAGCGGCACGTCTATAACACAGGAATTCATAGTTTCACACAATTTGCCATCATTTTCTCATGATTCTAGTAGTAATAACGGAACAGGGAGCACGTCAGATGCGCATAAAAAGCTAGCCCTTTGGGATGTCAGACCCAGGCATCGCATGACGAATAAAACGGGAATTTCACAAAGAGGCACTTTGTCACAACGTCTTGTGATAAAAAGTGCCAAATGGTATACCTTGCACAAACGATTGCACCTTGCGATTTGAAGTGATCTTTATTACACAGTACTCTGTAAACATTTTGAACACCCGCTCTTACACATCACCGTTCTAAATCCAGATGGAACCCGACAGATGCAAACACGTCGTGGGATAAGCAGGGTAAACGGTGGAGTGCCTCAGACGGGCTGGCCGACGTTTCTATTGAAGGACCTATCTTTGTAAAAAACGCCTTCTATCTAACAACCTTAAAACTAACACGCCAAGGCTTTCAAGGCTCCTTTGACAATGATAGGCCCTTCTATCGATGCATCGAACAGCCTGTGTGAGGCACTTCACTGCATATCCTGCTTGTTCCACATCACAGTTCTAGTAATTTAGGAAGCGTTGGTGTGAGGTAATGCATCACAAACATAAAGGGATACGGAAAAAGCTTCTTTCCGCAAATATTTTGAGCCAAATAAATAGATTGGATCCTCAAATCTGCTGATCATTCTAGTCTTAGAAGCTACTTTTGCGTACTGACATAAAATACATGCTCTACATTTGTTATAAGCGGTCCTTTTTTTTCAATGGTAATTTCTGCGCATCAAAAAGTACACTTTGGGAGGACTCACCGAATTTATAATGCTTACAACTATGTTGGCTTTCTTATTTATGCTAGCCATTTGTAGGGCAGGGCAAATAAAATCACCACTTGTTTCTTCACATGTATTGTTTTTTACATAAAGCTAATGAATCGAAAGCTGTCATGCTTTTAGTGCAATCGCTTTGATGTCCTTTAAAGCGGTTTCGGCAGTTGCTTTCATGGTATCCTCAAGTTGGTAACACATAAACATGTTGCAATTGAACGTGTCCCCTTGCACATGTTTCATCCTTTTTTTTGTCAGATTTTGGCATGTTCTCTAACTAAGTGAACAAAAGAAGCAAGCTTAAACATTTTATTTCTTACTTGCTAGTTCTTTAATAAATTATTTAGGGATTTCTTTCTTTTCTATTTAAAGCAAATACTTAAAAATTGTGCAATGTGAAAATAATTGACAAATATTCAGCGATATATTTCTGAAAGCGCCACCAGTCGAACATCGTGTGCAGTTGATAACGTCTGATAAGCAGTTCAGCAGTTAATGGTCGGACAAATGTATAGATGGCCCAGTAACACACCTGTCTTCGCAAAGCATGCGAATCGTGAAAGCTTCAATAATTCTCCTCTCCCTCGTGTCTTTAGATCTCGATACAACGATGGTGTTTTCGAAATCTGACTCACAATTGACAATAGACAGCGATTGCCCCGACGTCTTGATCACTGCCTTGGCTGAGAGGCTCTTAAAAACCACAAGCACAAACGTATATGACGGACGTAGGAGTAAATATGTAGTCAATGGAGAGGCCTATAGTTATGGCCTACGTCGCACGGACTGAAAAAGATCGCAAGTAGCCAAGGCATACCTATCACCTTTACGGCGCCTTACAAACGAATTTCACTCTGTCACCAAGTAAATGGCCACAATAAGAAGGAAAACCATACATGTTCTCTTAAGCATGTTAAGAAGTTTGTACCGTGTGGGGAAAAAAAACGCCAGGCTTGCGCGGAAAGCGCCGCACAGACTCAGCGAAAGCTGAAAAAGTGACCTTTCAGAGCCTTTTCTAAACACTGATTGGGTAACTACTGCAAGCACGCTTGTTTGATACCCACTAGGCCATTAATAATAAACTTTTGATAAGTAGGCTGGCATTCGCTATGCTATTTTCCGTCATTCTTCTGAGAAGCGTGGTATCCACTAAACACTTGCAAAGAACTTCGTGCCAATCGTTCATGCAGTGGCTGACGACGATAAGGAATTATAGCTGAAGTGGGTATGCGCTGCAGTTAATAGGGGAACAAGAACAAGCTTTTGTAATGGCTTGAAGCATTGGACAGCGCACTCGCTACGCTATTCGCATTGTGCTACGACTGGTTGTTTTTTCACTGTTTTAAAACGGTTTCTAAGTCGTATTAACGCGAATGCTTTCCCGACATTAAGCCTGCTAAGGCAAGTTTGCCAACAAGTCACATGCACTGGCGTAGCTCAGTGGTAGAATACTGGGCTGACAATTAGCAGACCCGGGTTTCAATACGTACTGTGCATTTAATTTCGCGCGATGTGGTTACGGACATCGGCGGTGGTTGAAAATGGCGCGGGACGCGAGTTGTGATCTCATATGACAACTTTCGCTGTAAGAACTCTTGTTTCTAGTATTCCTTTGTCATGCGGGAAACGGTTAGTTGGACAAACAGGTAGCCGTCATAATTTACGTTTACGCGACTAGTATAAGCATATTATTCACCCAGGTAACTTAGTTACCCATTGCAGCAGGTGCAATTGTCAGCCATATTGCGGCGGCACATCCGTCTTACTAACAAAAGAGGTTTATTTTTCATGTAGGCAATACCTGTCTGTTATAACACTCACATGGAATCGCGCACCATTAACGCAATGCTAAGTCACCCCAGCGGAGAAGCGAGGCTTTTAGTATATAGTAGAAAGTAAATCATTCCCATCTCATCAACGTTCAACAATGATCTATAGAGGGTCGTCAGTATAGGGACTCGCGTGAGAAATTCCTAATTTGTTGAATGCACACTTATAGGAAAATGTTAACTGAATCGTATAGTGCAGCAAGTCAATTCACCCAAACTTTTAGTTGTGAGCAGGGTAGCAACGGTTGATATTGCTTAATGCAATAGTGTGTAAGGTGAAGGTTTAGAAGCATTCAGGGGGGGGGGGGGGTAGTACTGATCTATTTCGGCATTCAAAAGCACCAAACAGGCAAGATCCATGAGGGAGATTAAAAAATTTAGCGCTCATTTTAAACTAAAGTTTGTTCACAGAAACTGGCCAGGTTTCATCCTATATTAAACATGGAAGCGCATGCGCGAAACCACAACCTCAATATCAAAGGATGGTTATCACCTTAGCGTTAAAACTATGTAACAAAAAACTCACTGACAGCCTCCTGAGGTTCTCAAAACAGATAAGAAACAACTGAGAATGAAATAACGCTGGTCATGCCAAGCATTCAAAGGGCTACTGCTGGTCTGTTTTCAGTGCAAAAGACTTATACGTAAGCCACTTCACTGGTTAGTAGGTTAACAGACTGTTGGCTGACGCGCGTGGATACATCATTCCGTGGAGCCTGATGCCTGATGTCTCCACGTGGGGACATCATCACGTGGAGACATCAGGCTAGGGAGCACCACAGATCCCTTAATGACATCCCCTTTATTCTTGTGTGTGATTGCCCTTTAAGAATAATACAAACGTGTCAAAATAATAATAATTGTTGGGGTTTTATGTCCTAAAACAGCCACATGAATAGGAGAGACGGTGTAGTGAAGGGTTCTGGAAATTTCTAGTCCGCGGGGTTTCTTCGACGGTGACCTACATCTAATTACACGGGTTTGAAGCAGTTGCGCCTACATCGAAAATGCGGCTGCCACGAATAGCATTCGCGATCTGTGGCGACCTGTGGGTCGAATGCCATAACCAAGTGACTCCCCATGGCGGATACAAATATATATATAAAATTCCCACAGAAAAGAAAACTATGAATGAAACGTTCACCAAACTCCCTCCGGCTCAAGGAGAATAAAACTACCTGAACAATACGATCAAAAAAATCAAGCTTGCCCCCAGTGGCATATTATTCTGACACGCGGCATCCCTATAGTGCTTGTAAACTTTTTCAGTTTTTCTTGTGACAGCTACTCATTATACACGTGTTGTTTGGAAAGATCAGGAAGATATATTCACAGCGCTCACACAATTTCTGTCATGCCTCAACCACGATACACATTTATACTTATGAAATTTAGAATTTGTCTGTTTGGCACTAAGTTTAAAGACGTCAATGATAATATGGCATTCGCGAAATCAGTCATAATTTTTATAAGCAATGTTGTTCTTAACTTTCGCGCTTTATCAACGAGAGAACTAGTCTGAAGCCATTTAAATAGGTAAAAGAGCCATGACAAGCCGTCCGCATTGGCCGCTTTTGTACGACGTGCTCAAACATAGTTGCAAACTTAGTACATGGCACGAAAAGTCTCCAAAGCAGTGTGTGCGTCAACTCACACACTGAAATGAAGACTGCAGAGCCGAGTAGCGTGAATTTTACCGTTAATAAATGAAGTTCAACAATTGCACCAAGGTTCTTAAGGTGGGATACACAACAAATCTCCTTCAGTTTCTCGAAGGAGGTCTTTTTGGAGGTCTCGCAGGGCAGCACTGAGGTATTTAAAGTTGTTTAAATTGACAC